TATTTCCTGGGCTAGAGGCCGCGGACTATCGACCTTTAAAAATTAAAATTTTACCCGATGCGGACTATAGAATAATTTGTTGTTTTTCTATGTGGCTCACTGTGACAAGACGTGTTTAGGATTTTATGTGTAACGGAGAATATTAACGTTGATTTATGTATGATACAATCTTCTTTGTTAGTTGATACAGGAGGCCTTTGTCAAGGTGTTCTTTGTACGATAATGTTTACGCTCAGACTAGGTACAAATAGCGGGCGATGCACGTCGGGCGGAATATTGACGGCGTGCGGACTGTGCACCGTGTGGAGACTATGGGACGGAAAATACGGTGCAGTGTGTTGCTCGAAGTGCAGGCCAAATCGTTCCTGCGAAAAGCACTTATCGCAATAAAAAAAAAAGGTATAGGTCGTGTTGGTTTCTGCCGAAGGGCCATATTGGGAAAATGAATAACGTTTGGAATAACTGGTGAATAATGATTTTCAAAGTATTAACTTTTTAATACTCCATTTATAGGCATGGGTTTAAATAAAAACTTGCTCAGGATCATCGAAAATTACCGAATCAAGTTATTCTAGAACTATGAAATGCATATAGAGAATTTTACTGCGTTCCGAATGAAAACTCCCGCTTTGGACTTATTTCTAGGTTTCGGTTATTTATCGGAGCGTGTCTTTGCGCTAGCAGTCTTGTCCCCCGTGCCCGAGGCACGCAGCAACGTGCGCCACGCACCTTTCCCTCCTACGAAGGTGAAGGAAGCGGTTGGTTGTCGCCCGGGCAACGGGGGACGAGACCGCTGGCGCAAAGATGCGCTCCAATAATTAACCGAAACCTAGAAACGCTTCCTAAATGAACTTTTGGTTTTTGGAACGCAATGAAATGCTGTACGTGTCCAGTGGCGAAGCCGCGAGGCGGTTGGGGAGGGGGGGGGGGGGGGGGGGGGTGCGGAGGGGGTGGGGGTGTCTAATGCGGTTTCAGCCCCTCCACCCTAAGATCCAGCCGACTCCATGATATAAACATGCATTTCGACACCCCTCTTCCCTTCCGCACCCCAAGTAATGACCATCCCGGCCACCTTTTCCCGGAAAAAAATTCCTGGCTTGGCCACTGGACGCGTCTTCTATCTACCTAGAATAGGTTGATATAGTGGCTTTTGATTATCCTCAGCAAGTTTCTAATTGAAATCGAATCGATAAATTCACTAATTAAATTGTCAATTACTTGAAAGTTCTTAGTAACCTAACTATACATAACGGCAGGGATGGGCAAAATACATGCAAATATGTATCAAAATACAAATACAAAATACTTCGTCAAAAGTGTATTTAATTACAAATCTAATTACATTTCCAAAAAAGCATTTAAGTATAAGATACAAATACAACCCCAAAGTATTTGGTCTCCTTCAAATACTTTTCCAAATACATTCCTCAAAATTTGTGTCAGCGACTTCAGGGCACCTGCAACGGGTTTCTGGGTATCTCATTTTAATTTTGCATCGCACACTCGGGAGTTAGTGTGCGATGCTCTAGTAACGTAATAGAAATATAATCACAAAAAAATTCAATCAGCTTGGATGCAATAGGTGAAAAAAGTACAGAGCTTCAAGCAGCTTTTTTGTCAATTACATGTTGGTATAGACCAACAAAGAACCGAGACAACCAAGACGCGCAGCACTAGCTAGAGAATTTTTTATTGTTGCAACTCGCACCAGTTACAAAAATCTGGACGACTCGCGCATTTAGTATGTTTCAGGCAAAAATATGGATGAAAATCAGGCTGGAAAGCATCATAAGATGTCACAGGAACTTATTTAGCCAGTCTGCTTGTGAACGTCGATTTCGTCACTATTCTTGCCCTGGACAAGCACCGTAATCACAAAGTCACTAAGCGCTTGTGCTTGATTGAGAGACACTGCATTCGGTGCGGCACGTAGGCTTCTTCCTGCTCTGGACAGTGACAATAAATTCGAGGGATGTATTTTCGCCCAAAAAATTGTATTTAATTACAATTGTATTTGAAATACCCACGTTTTAGTATTTAAATACACATGTCAAATACATTACCCAATTTGTAAATAAATACAAATGCAAAATACACAAAGTATTTGAAATACGTATTTCAAATACTTGTATTTGAAATACTGCCCATCCCTGCATAACGGCAATAATTTTCCGAAATGAGCGCTTTGCCGAGATAACTACGACATTTTAGCGTCATGGGTACTTGGTACAATAAAGATTGGGCCCGCGTTTCGAGGAACAAGCTGGATATTGGGAAATGGGTTTGTTCATAAAATTCTAATACACATAATTGGCTGTTTCAATGGTAATCTTAATTAAATACTATTTTGGGCACTCTTAATGGCGGTGTGAGTCACGTCAGGTGCATACATTTTGTTACGGCTCCAGCACAATTCGCAACAGGTTGAAGTTAAGATAAAAGCAAGAAATGCACGAGCGCTGTTTAAGTATTTATTTTTGATTGAGCTGCTTTTAATTTTGTTTTCTAAAAGAAATTCGGATCGACGCCAGGTATTTGTAATGACTTTCTTGCTTATGTGATACTACAACTTTTTAGAGCGCAGCTCTTAGGCGCCTTTTTTCGACATGAACGACATCGCCGTCGCCGTCGCTTTAGGTTTCCGACAATGGCGTTACACGTGGCATTGCGTGTGACGTCACGAAGGTCACTCGTGATGGTCACGACAAAGGTCATGACCTTCACGAGGCCCTCACGAGTGACCTTCGTGACGTCATGAAGTTCAGTCGTGAAGGCCTCGACGGAGGTTACAAGTGACGTCACGAGGCTCACAAATGACGGAAGGAGGGTCACTAGGGTCACGAGTGACGTCACGAAGGAGGTAGGGCGAGGAGGAGGGGAGAACGAGAAGGAGGAGGGAGGAGGAGAGGGTACGAAGGAGTAGGAGAAGATACCCTTCTCTCCGTACCCTCCCCTCCCACTCCTCAAGAGCTGCTCTCTAATTCGGCATTACAGGGAATTGTAAACGTCTTTCCTTTCTAATCCTTTCATGAACTAGCACTAAACTTAAAAAAAAAAAACAATGCATTGCTTCTGCTGTTTTTCTTTACGGATATTGCACCTGCCTAAGATACTCTATAGGAAGTGCACTACTGAAACTTCCATTTTCTTTTGAAACCCTTGAATGCCGTAACGTGAAGCATGAGTGGTGAAACTAAAACCGGATATATTTCCAAAAGGTATTCAAAGTGATCAAATGCCTCTGTGTATAATTGGTTCTTACTTCAATATTTTTTAGAAAGTGTAATTGAATTTGGAAATATACAGTAGATATTTTGGAAGGCGTATTCCCAATTTCGCATAATTTCAAAGAGCAGCTTCTACAGAAGTAATATAAAGTCGACCATCATATCGCACATAGAATACGCTTAATTGCTTATAACGTTCAAATCGAGTTCTGAGACAGGACGAGGACTGCGGCTTGTAATTTTACGCCTGAGCCGCGCGTCCTAAAGAATACGCTTCTGGTAATAAACGCACGCTTTCAACCTCTTTTTCCTTTCTGCGGGAACGTCATAATAAAAGAGGTCTGTGGATTAAACGATATCCTAGAACCTCATTTCTGCTGGAAGTGCTTCTACTGTTTTCGATAGAGTAGTAGAGGCAAGGTTGTCTGCTCCAGTACGTTTGAGTATTTTCTTCAATAAACAAAACCCAACTTTTAAATTGAGCATGCTTGATGCGATCAAACCCGATAGTATAGTTTTGTTTTGAAACGGTAGTTCACAATAGATAGTTCACTATTAAGATACAAAGAAGATATACATCGTACTTCCCTCGTTTTCGGTGAATGGATGGTTACGATTGCATCTTTGTCAATACGGTACTAAGAAAGTGAAAGTTGTATCTAACTTCTGAAAGTCGCTACCGTGTTCTTACTCTGCGAAGACAAAATCGGAAATGTTGTGGGAAGGCGTTCTTGAATTCAAATGAGCCTCTCAACCGGAGAGTGTGGGCGAGTTCGTGATCAAGAGAGGCCGCATTCAAAAACTTGATGGCGATTTCGGCATTCCGCCAATGACGTTTTTGTAAACATCTTTTGATTTCATGCGCGCAGATCTTCTGAAAACAAGTCTTTCCTGAAGCATGTGAATAGAGTGTGTTTGAGTGATTGACATTTCGTCGACAGAAGCGTGGCTTTAAACAATTGAGTTTGCATTTAAATGTTCTATAAGTGTTTTTTTTTGCTAAATCCCATTAAATGTATACAAAAGAGGACATGATTTTTTATATTTACGAAATACTGTAGCTAAGATTCCCCGTAATCACCCCGCAAATTGAGGCACCTACGATGAAATGACAAAATTGTTTTGGGTTCGTTCCTCCAGCCTGAGGTTTTGGTCAATACAACGTGCATCAAAAGCCCCATTTGTCGCCACAGAGACACAGTGTGTATGTATAAACTGCACGAAGTTTCGGGAAGGACGAAGAGACGTCCATGACAATGAGGGTCAGGGAAGAAGGACTCTGATAACTCGCGGTCTTGTTGAACGCGTGCTTGAATAATGAGAATGCAGGTGGTGACCGTCTTTGAGGCTGATACCCAAAAACTTGTGCAAGGTCATAATAGTTCACTCAATCTGTGCGGTGAATATGGGAAGTTCGCTACGTATGTATCTAAATGTCGTAAATATTCAAATATCTTTCATTATTAATACATTAGTTGTAACCAGTTTATCAAAGGGTAAAAAAGCAGCCCACGAATATATTTGAAACCCGCCATGAAAAAAACAAAAAAACAGAAACTAAATAAAGCGTGTGTGCATTATGTCGCGCTCGTTATGATTTTATGTTGGACAGTTAGTTATAATTCCAAAAAAGTGTATTTAAAAAAAATGTTACAACCAAAAATGATTTAGGGGTCACCCCTTCCACAAGTTTAGATGGTACGTTAGTTTTCTACAAAAACATTTAAAAATGTGGCTGGAAGGTAGGCTCATAAGTACAAACACGTAGACAATATGGTAATTGCGGAAATCGAATTCATCATACAATATAAGATAGGCAACCAAGGAAGTATAAGTAAAAGGTCAAAACGGGAACATTCTTTCAGTGATAAAGTGAAGAAAGTTGTGTCAGTTAAGTGATCTTTTTCGCAGACGACACCCTGTTCTACGTTTTTCCCAGGAAATATTTTTATTACCTTTTTTAAGGGAAATAAGAAATTACATACATATTGAAAAACAATGCGCTGCTGTTAAACCCGCTCTAAATCCAAAGAATGAGTAATTTAAAATTTAGACGGTATTCAGTACTGTCTAATTTATGTTGATCATATAATTGGAGCGCAGCAACTTTATGTGGAAAGTGGGGTCAGTGAGTTCAAACGCGGATTTTTTTAGTGCAATCGCTAATATTCTAGCTGCGTTCATATAATTGTACTGTTTTTGGTGTAAATAAAAACAATTAATCCCTGGTCACAGAGAGAGGCTGCCTATATAAATTACCATGCGGTCGAGTAATTTTAAGAAAGAGGAATATTGCATGTAAACTATTAAAATAGACAGTATCTAATAAATTCTATTTTTTATCTTTTCAGATTTTGTATGGTTTTCACGTGTCTGGTGCTCAGTGTTTTTTCAACAATCAAGGATTTCGAAGATATAGCTGGTGCCATATTACTAAGAATGGTAAGTAGTTGTTTTTAATATTTTTATTGACGTCGTGCAGCCTTCGAACTATGGCAAACATAGATTTTGCAAAAAAAAAAAAATTAACGTGAGATTGCTAACATTAAAAGCGTTTTGAACATGACCTTATAAAGCAGTTCATACATTCCAGATACATATTGCATTGAAGTTATGTTTTAGAACATGTAAAATAAACGCATATTCTGAACTAAAACTTACGTGTCTGTCTTATGCTGTGCACCTGCATTTGTATAAGCGTGACTTGTGTTTGTATCATAATAAGCTTAGAATGCTTTAGCAGAGATTTTAATAGTATATAATGTATTATAGAAATTGTAATACAAAGCGATATTAGCAAGGTCTGCTTGGCATTGTACTACTTTTTGTACTGAAAGCCTTTTTTAGACAACCAAATATTGGCCTAACCGGTTTTGATGTTTAATAGCTTTTATATCTTTAAAATAGTTTTGTAGGGTGTCCTGGGGGGGGGGAGCATGACAGCTTATAGCTTAAGAGTATTTAAAATATTGCCCCTTTCCAGCGATTCGGCTTAAAAGTGTGATGTAAGATACCAAGCAGCACAGAGATGGCCAAGCATTGGCCAATGGCTGGCAATGGTCTTTTGACCAGTTGCCAGAGAGTGGCCAGAGGTTGGCCGATGACTGACCTTTCTCTGGCCATTGGCCAATGGCCACTGGCCATAAGCCATTGGCCAAGCATTGGCCAAAGAATAGCTACTCTTAGGCCACTGGCCACAAGACCATCCCCAGCCATTGTCCATTGCTTGGCCAAAATCTGTGCTGCTAGGGATATCTTTAAAACTCTCAAATCTTGAAGCTAACACCTGTAACAAGTGTGTTATTATTTTTCCTGTTCAATATTAACATTGAGATTGGTTTGCCGTAAAAACAGTTATTTTGTTAAATTTAACAGTTTTAATTTTGTCACTGATCCATGGCAAGATATGTCACATGAATGTTATACCTGATTAATATTTGTCTTTCAAATAAAGATCTGTTCTTTTTAAAAGCAAAAAGAACATGCACCGTTTTTTAGGATCTCGCGTGTCTCTAGAACAACAGAATGGTGCACTACTTTGCATTATTCATAGCTTATCGTAGACTGATGTTTTTTTTTATTTAGAAGCATCTCATTTTTGCAGCATATCATGTAGCGTGGTTATTTCATTGTTCTTGATACTGAGCATATGGAAAAGGTCAAATATCATGTATAATTCCAATAGTAAAAAAATGACAAGGTGTATATTGTTTCATAGTGCTTGCAGAATAAGACCGATCAGAGCAAGGATTCAGCAAATGCAATCCTTCGTAGCCGAGCAAAGTTTAAAGTCCGTTGACCCGTTCTGTGCCAGAACCGAAACCCTTGAGGTAGCCGTATTTTTAGCAGCGCCTGACGTAAATGTCACAACAATAGGCCCCCTCTTGAGTTCCGGGGGCGGTTTGTTTTTTTATATGGCTTTGTGAATTTGTTTCCCGCTTTTAAGCATCATGTTTTAAAGCACAATCCTAAATTTTCAGAGCATTTTGTTTGTATATTCATAAAATGACAATCATAACCTCATTTACTTATTTAAGTAACAGAAAAATTCTTACGCATTTAATAGAGATTGTGACAAGCAAGATATCAAAAAATGTTGATGGAGTCAGAATAACATAGTGTATGAAATCCGACGTTAGAAAGACATTCTACCTAATCAATATTTTTATTCAGGACATTGATACCGAAGTAGGCTGATTCCATTCGTATGATACATAATTTACCTAAAACTAAAAAGGATATCAATGTTTTGTGTATATCCTCCTAACTTTTATTCGCCTGGGATTCATATCTAGTTAACTGGTAAATTTAACCTTGCTAAGGTTGGATGTTCAAACTAAGGTTTTAATTACCACCAGGGCCTGTCACATGGCAGTTGAACTGGGGTGAATGTTTGGTATGTGTAGGTACATAGAAACGCTTGCTTTCAGCAAGGAGTAGTGATGTTGTTTTGTGGCGTCAAAACACATTGTATGTTTTGTAACTAGAAAATTAGATGACGATGCCCTGAAGTATGTTTGTGGGAAAACCGCTACCCTTCGGGTGTCTCGGAAGCATAAGCGGATCATTTCAGCTCAAGTAGCCTTTCGCACTTAAAACAATATCTGGCAGGCTTGATTTCTTTTTGCTACACACACAAATTCGAGTAAATACTACCGTCCTGAACCATATATTTTAGATCATTTACATTTAATCAAATGCGGCTTGTTTATATCTTAGTCACATATCATAGCCCCGACAGCTTCAACGTCATCTTAGTAAAATTTTCAACATTTGTGCACATCCTTGTTGCGCAACAAAGCTAGCCATTGAAAACACAATAAAAGCTTTATATGATATTCAAGTATGCACTGTAATGAAGGTAAACATAAATGCCTAATTAAGGCTACTTAAAACCGCACATAGCAAGCGTTGCAAGAGGCAAGAATGTGATACCTTAGTAGTACTGGCCACGCGTTTTTAACAATTATTTTAGAAAATTATAGTAAACATGGTAGGCGCGATTAACCAAATGAAGATTAAGCCCACTCAAATCTGCATAGCTGATAATATTTAACTGTACTACGATTAATCAAAGCTGCAACATATCTTAAACTAGATTGCTCGGGGGGGGGGGGGGGGGGTAGTGTTATTTTGTTTAAATACACCAACCACACCGAAATCACTGTTCTATGTCAATGGCGGCAACCTTCCAGGGTACAAATATAACAGACTGGTTCAGGGCTCTTTGGAACCTAACATCGAATTGACGATTTAAACTCTAGCAAAACTGGAACGTGGCCGAGAACTCATAATAAATATCTCCCAGCAGCATATCTGCTATCGTGTGGAAATCTCCTTACCCATTTATTTTTGACATCTTTCTTTTAATGACTGAATATTTTCCCCGTCCCTAAGTAGAAACTCGCTTTGATTTCTATTTATATGTATTTTTGCTGTTTTTACCAAGGAGTTGAACCGAAGATGCTAAGAAAGAAATGAAATGCATATAAAGCAGGAGAAAGGAAACTAATTTCGACACGCACGAGAACAACTTTAATGCGTCGGAAAAAAAACACTTCTAAGCGTTTGTTTGCTTTCTCTCCGTGTTTTTGTGTTGTTCTTTTTCTTGATACTTTGAGGAGGTACTCGATATCAGCGCTCAAAGGCCGACGACCAGACACGCGACTCTGCAAGGCAGAATATCCTCCTCACCCTAGGGAAGGAGGAAACAGGCAACCGCGGACAAGGTAGAAGGGGGGAGAGGAGGAAGCGGGGGAAAAGTGGAAAGCGCGAACTGGTCGTTCGTTTTTAAGAAATTTCGTGTTCCACTTGCGTCTATACTTCTCTGTTTTCCGACAAAGTTGGTGTATTTAAAATAAAAATATAACTGCCGCGAGAGCATTTGTGTTGGTAGAGTCCTAATATTTTATACTGGTAACTCTTTAGGAATATTAACATCTTCAGAATTAGTGTTTTATACATGGCAGCCGATTGTATTTTTGCGCAATGTTACGGATTTTCAATTTTCCCTGTCTGATTGTCATAACCGGCAGTGACTCTTCCGTTGATGTGTGGTCTTATCTAAGGGGGCGTTAACATTTCGCCGATACCTTTTTTGTGCTGTGCAGGACCCAGCGCAGTAGACTTATTTTCTTCCTCTATTAGTTGAGGAGTGCAGAATAACGAGAGGAAAATCATAACATTAACAAGAAATCCTACGCATCTCTACGTTCCAAAATGGTTTTCATAGGCGGAATGAACTTAAGCTTAATATCCAAAAAGAAAGCCAGACACATGACTTGAGCAGTGACAATACGGGCCAAAAACCTACCCAAGTACCACTGCGCCCATTCACTAACCAGCCGAAAACATAATTTAACTAGAACATATGTATTTTGTTTTTTGTGGGGAGGTTATTACGTCGAATGGCACAACATCGATTACGCAGATTTTGCCGTAATTGCTCTCACTTTCAACCATTTTGGAGGACAACGATTCATTGACTATTTTATCACCTAGCCAAGGAGTCCGTTGTAGACTCGGTAGAAACTCAAGTGAAAGAGCGAGAGTTGTTAACATTTGACAACCCCGGTCAGAGCGCGCGTCTGGAACTGTCATTCTTACGTTTTCATTTTATTTTGTGCAGGAAATAGTGATGGTAATCTGGTTTACCATCGAGTTCTTCTGTCGCCTGTGGTCGGCAGGGTGCCGGTCCAGGTACCAGGGTTGGATGGGAAGGCTCCGGTTTCTCCGGAGCCCGTTTTGTGTGATAGGTGAGTGACCCTTGGCTCCTTCTGGGGCTCTGACGCGATGACCCAAAACAATTCCTGAATTTATTTTCCGAACGGTACTTGGAGCCACATAACTTGCGTGAGAGAAGAGCAGGTACGTGAGCATGATTCTGTGGTTCTCGTTTGTGAATTTTCGTGGTAGCGAATGTAACATCGAGCACGAACGCTAGCCTTTGATTGCGTATCGTTCATGAACATTCAGTTGTTCGACGTTCATAAATTAAGAGCTTCACGCTTTTTGTGGTAAAATCTCCCCATGATGGATGATTGTTATGTTCTTACGTTTTAGTTATTGTTTATTTAAGGCCTGCTTTTTCAGGTGGGAATTACACCAAGAAAGAACGAGCGTTAATGAAGCCAAATAAAGAAACAAAAAAACAATACACTTTTAAGCCGTAACTTTCATCACATTTATGAAGGTGGAGTTTAATTGGCAACTGATACTTTTTAAACCTTAGTAATTTACGCACACGCTGCAATTCAATCAAAATATAGCACGGCCTTTTTTCCTTGACGTTGTTCTCTGCTTCAAAGAAACGGTAGTTCTACACCGGCGAATATTAAAGCGAAGTTTGGCTTATTATTGCTACCACGAATGAGAGGGTAAAAACCATGATGTAAACATATCGCTGCACGTAACTGTCTGACAATGCCAGTATGTGGTTCAAATCGCGAAGGGCCAGCAGCTCAAACTGCGCCTTCCACTTCATCTTTATCTAGCTTGGTTTAATTTTGTTGTGGGTTGTGAAATTGTCGATAGGTAGAAGTCGAGAACTGTATGCTTGGTATATTTACGAAGCCAGCAGGAGTAAACATAAACCGGGTTTTTAGCAAATTTCTTTCCTCTAAATAAACCAACCATTTCATTCCTTGTATAGGGAGAAGGGAGAGCGTACAAGAGAAAGATTGATATAGTAGACATATGTGTAAATAACTACATCAGAGTGCAAATTATGCCTTCTGACACCTTGTTATTCGTAAAAAAGTACACAGGAAGTAGGTTCCATATTCTGACATTTCTGGTGAGTTAGAGTACTTACTGCAAATTCAGGGGAAGTCTTTGACCCAATCGGAATAATACTTCTTGCAGTTGCTTGTACACTCGTTACTTAAATGACATGTAACTAATATTTTAGAAACATTCTTTGAAAAACCCGTGTTCGGAGGAAGTAACCGATCCTTATAAAGTGAATATAGTATTGAGAAATCTAACAAACTTTCGCTGCTGAAATTTTGTGATGTCTGCAACACAAACACTAGAAGTTTTCGAAATGAAGACCATGCTTTTGATAAATATGGCTATTTTTACAGATGATGACAACATTGACACTTTAATCTCCCCGCTGTTTCAAATTTAAACAATATACTATAAAAAAACTCAGTCACAACTACTTCATTCTTGTCACAAAACGTATGTGAGCCAGAACTCATAGATTAAACCTGAGAACATTTGCCACGCATGAGATCCCTTACGTTATAAATAAAGAACGCAATGAAAACTTCTATGGCATACTGTCAGAAATTACACTTGATCGAGCGGTAAATATTGAAAGTAACCAAACGTTTAATTTGGAGAACTGGTGCCGAGAAAACAAAGGAGAAACAGTAGCGTCACCAGCATCGAAGTCGGCGTAAACCCAGGGCTCGAGCGCTGAAGCGAGACTGCCTTGTACGGCGCGGCACACCCTCTTTTAAGGCTTCCCTGGGAGCCTAGAATATTCTGCCTCGATCCTTCTTGAACTATACGTTCTCCAAAGGAATAGTCTAGACGGTCGTTCAACCTTCTCGAATCTTCTACTTTTACAAAGAAAAATAAAACGTCACGCTGTGCCGGGAATCGACACCGAGCGACCTGCGTGTGAGCCAAACGTGTTGCCGCCTCGGCTACGTAAGCGCGCGGCAATATTACTTTTCATCTAGTAGCTTACACCAAAAACTTTATTTTACGCGGATAATGTTTCAACAAAGTACAAAGTTTGTTTTGCAGCGCTTATTCAAATTTTACTGCCAGTATTTGTTATTTTTCGAATAAAATATTTGTAGAAGATTATCATTTTTTTTTACTAATCAGTAACGCAGATTTGCTTGGAAATTAAGGGACACTGGAATTGACAAGCAAGCTAGTTTGAACTGTAAAAGTAAGTATCCACAGGCGTAAGCCGTTATGCGCGTGATGAAAAACTAAGCGTTATAAAGGATGATATTGAATTACCCTTGGGGTTTCCGTACCCTCTCATTTTCAACACAATAACGCTGCTTAGGAAGTACGAGTGCAACTAAAATTAGTTTATTGAAAAATAATTCTGCACACAATGTTATTTTGTTTATATTGTTTGCCTCGAAAAAAAGCTGTATATATTCAATCAAAATCTCCAACAAATTGGCCTGTCTTCTCGCTCCCTCTCAGTACTAAACAGTCTCTGGAAATTAGTTCACCAATAGTTAAATTATATTTTCTCCAAGCGAATGTTTTTTTCATGGAGAGTATTCGAACGACGCTGCGTCTTTATAACAAAATTCATCTGAAAAAACGAAAGTACGCACGCAGCTTCTTTTCTGAGTGTCGCAGTTTTGAGGTATTACCTCTTTTTTATCCCAGAGAATCATTCAGTGAGTACCGCAATTTTAAGGGAGAATGTTTTTGCTACAAATGTTGTGAATTACATTTATATCCGGTAAGCAGTATTATTGTGTTGTTTTCGGGTTGTGAACTACAGGCCCAAAAGGCAATATGAAACTACTGCCTTTTTGTTATGGCAATATGAAACTAAATAAGCGTATGTGTACTTTCTTGCAGAACGCCAAAGACTCAATCACTGCAACCTACGTAAGTAGGTTGCAGTGATTGGCCAAAAGTGTTCTCGAATCTCACGGGAAATGTGCAATTCAAGTAACACGATCAGAGTGAAGCTTCACATGGCACAGGACTCCGTCGCAAATCTAATTTTCAGGTCTAAATATATTTTCGACCTTCTAACTTTGCAAGAGATCGCTCAGTAGGTGGTAGCGACTGTGTGACTGGAAGCTTTATGGGAGACACAGAGCAGCATTTTAGAAAGTGTAAAATGAACTTCAAACTTTCACTGTCTCCCTCGATATCAAAGACCCCTACCCCGAGGCAGTTCATGCGGTTGTGCTACGTAGATTTTGACCACACTTAAAGAGAGGGAATATTAGATAGGTGCATATGCAGTTCCTATCCCCAGGAAATGTGCGCCTAGCTCAAACGAATCCCGCACAGATGCCAGAAACGGCGTTGTTGAATATATCTTTCGTGTCAGTGGAAACAATAAGTAGTAAGCTCTAAATAAAAAAAAACACATGAAAGTCGTTTAGAATTCCCTGTAATATTGAATTAGAGCGCAGCTCTTGAGGAGGAGGATGGAAGGGTACGGAGGGGAGGGTATGCCCTCCTTCCCCACCGTACGCTTCCCTCCTCCTTTCCTTTTACCCTCCCATTTAGCGGGAAATTATCTCTAAATTTCACGCTAAATTAAGCGGGCAAATTTTCCGCTAAATTTAGCGGGGTAATCTTTCCGCTAGCGGGGAAATTTTTCCGGTAAATATAGCGAGAAATCTTTTCTATTAAATTTAACGGGGAATTTTTTTCCTCTAATCTTAGCGGGAATTTTTACTCCGGTAACTTTAGGGGGATTAGCGGAAACTTTTTACCGTTAAATATGGTGGGGAAATTAGCCCATAATGCAACGCGTGGTTACGCCGGCGGCGACAGCGACGGCGACGGCGACGCCGCTCAAGCCGGAAGTGGGCGCCTAAAACTGGGCCCTAAAAAAAAAGAGAAAACAAGAGAGGATGCAACATGAGATATAGGAACATAATTGAAGAACACCATGTGCCTTGGTTGTGTTTATGTGCCCGGTGTGCTGTTCGACAGATGTGATCGTCATCGTGGCTTCGGTCGTGGTGCTGGCTATGGGGAGCAGCGGCCAGATGTTCGCGGCTTCGGCCTTGCGAGGCCTTCGGTTCTTCCAAATCCTCCGAATGGTGCGCATGGACAGGCGAGGGGGCACCTGGAAGCTGCTCGGATCTGTCGTCTACGCGCACCGACAGGTGAGCCCTTTTTCATGTTGGTTTATACCAGTCTGCTAGCAAAAATGTTCGTTAACGCTATATTATATATTATATAATATTGTATTACTATTTATGTCTTATATTATGTTTCGATCAAGTTCTTCCGTTTTACAAAATTTATTCGCGCACGGAATGGTGCTGCTTTTTTACTTATTTGAGGTTCATTAGTAGGTGTGGTGGAATTGAAAATGTTTCTTATTAACAGTGTTCATTTATAATCTAGTTTGATGTCCATTTTCTTTCTGAAAATGTATTCCGACTGCCTAATGCAAGAAAGGAATCGGGAATGGAGTAACTTGTTTGTATAAGATTTTTTTTTTCGGGATGTGTAATTTGGAATACGTGAGGTTCGCCCTTTTATAAGTGCCTAGACGATCAAGTATGGTCCATTCATCTGGATATTTTCGAATATATTATTTTTAGAGATCACATAAGACAATAAAAGTGCCCCGTGATATATTAAAAAACATGACTCGTGACTCTCGCATGTTATTATACCGCGTTTCTGAAGCACATTGAAATCAATAGATATAAACATGACAGGACTAACAGTGAGACGAATTATGGAACCTACCGAGCACCTTTTACTTACCAGCAAGCGTCGGACCGCGTTCCACGTGGCAGCATTTGTTTTCAGAACACTTTGCATTGGCTGTGTTTCGTTTTGGTGGAATGTCAAGACCAATTGGAAACACAAAAAAAAACTACAAGACAGTGTCCTGTCGTGTAGTGCTTAATATGTCTGACCGAAAATTGGGAGGCACGGTTTTCGAATGTTGGTGCCGTGAAATTTTTGTCTTTCCGAGGCTTCCTAACATTAATCTTTTTTTTATTATTAGATGAAGTACGGTTTATTCATCTGCGTACTTTGGAATAATACCTTAGGGAGTTATAGATAACAGGTATAATTTATTACATAATATTAGTATTCTTGAATTTTATAAATAAAACCAACATATCTGCGATATTTGACGCATAACAATTTTTTTCTTATCGCGTCCGACTGATTTTTTCCAAGGTACGGATGAGGTGCGAATGCCGATGCAAATACAATTATTAGAATTGATTTGAAAATCGCGATTAAAAGACATACACAAATATAAAAAAATATATAAAATCTTCTAGTGTTTTTTGTCACTAAACCTACCGTATACTAAAATGCAGCCTGTCTGAGTCATTTATTTCACCTATTTGTCCAAGGGGTGTTTGGTTCATCAGAAAACACTTGAGGAGCCAGAAAGACAACAACGTCCAGTTACCGATGGCCGAGACCAATATAATTGTTCTCCCGGCCGCTTCTGCCAACATTATATTGAGTTCAATAAGATTTGCTCCTGTTCTTAGAGCTGCGTGTTTTTTTTTATTATTGATTGAGAATACCAATAACTAAAATCAAATTTTGGCATCAAACTTCAACATTACCTGCTTTGTTAGTAAGAAATCAATTTTAACACAGCGAAGTCCTCTATTCGGTACTTGATAATGTTTGTAAGGTACATAGTGTTATATATATTTTCACGCGCCTTCGCATGGATGCTGCCATCCTAAAATCACGAGATGCAGACATTAATAATAATAATAATAATAAATCATTAATTTCCATTCATTGATGGCACAAACCGAGGGGGAAAGGCTACCCACATGCAGCTAGACAAGCCCTCGGCCCCCTTACAGTAGCAGCAATGAAAATAACACTAACATGTCAGAGAAAGCATGTTACAAAGTTCAAATATCCAGAGATTTCTAAAACATGAACTTAGTTTCTTAATGTGGTAGCAAAACAATAACAGAAGCAGAACGAAAAAACTCCAAAGACTGCTTTGTCACAGAATATAGATATGTAAATTGTTTCTAATGATTTGTATCAGTGATATTTCGATCGCAAACATGCTACATCAAGCACCAAAAAAGCAAGTAAACACAAATATTCGCCTCTTTGAAATACAGAAAATATCTCTTTCATGTTGAAGGATGTAAACACTATCTTAGCAAGCATAACCTTACAGGACTACAAGTTGTATAGTGTGGTGTTAATCAAATCAGTTTTGTTCCCAATATGATCGTTCACAATTTTTGGAAGCAATTAATTCAGCATTTGGTTTCCATAATTAGTTCTACATATATCCACCTTACAGTATTCGCTTTGACGGGTTGAGTAAGCGTGTTCATTTCTAGTTAATGAAGCCAGTGATTGAAGATTTTGCGTGTAAAGTTTTAATTCCGATCGAAAGTTTGGACTTAACCTATAGGCATACAGATCAAAAATGTTTATAATTGAATGTCTCTCAAACAACGGCGAAGCATGGCAATCGTAAGAGGCATTGCAAATATAGTGCAACATCGTTTTCTGCAATACATAAATTCTTTCTAGGTTGATAATCGTGGTTGTGCCTTACACGTCAGCAATAACTAATATGCGAGTTAAACAATGAATTGTACAGTAATGAATTAACCTTCGCAGAAATTATGGGGTTGTGACGTCGTACTATACCGACTGTCTGCACTAATCTAGATGTAGCAGAATTTATCTGCTTATTAGAAGTCATGTACTCCATAAACAACACTCCAAGGATTTTAAACGAGTTTGTTAATTCAATAATGCATGAGTTGTATGAAACCTGTTTCGAAATATATATATTACTTTACTTTTCAGACAAAAAGGACTGCCTTGGTTTTCGTAGTATTAATTTAAAAAAAATTCTTGACGCACATTTGTGCAGTTTTAACAATGTATGATTTGCTATAGTTATAATATCATCGGGATGTTCACCAGGGAAAAAACAGGCTAGTATCATCTGCCCATGTAACAAACTTTGCGTTCAAATTAATGCTGGCTTCAGTGCTTTGCTACAAAAAAGTAACTTGCAACTTTGTTAATATTCTCTAGCTTTGGTTTTTGTGGCGTGTTGCGGGTTTTTTCGCCTTGTTTTATAAACTATCGTCCAACACTAGTGTTTAGTACCTGAAAGCTATCGAACATTATGTGCTCGGCTCGTACAGTTGACTTTGTAAAGCATCTCCTTGTATTTCCTGCCGCTACGGACTAAAGTCAGGTGCCGTGGTGCAAGCGTTGCTATTAGCAGTGATCTAGGTAGAAAACCGTATAATAACCTAACGCAGGAGTGTCCAGGCTGACCCGGCCTAAGAGCCGCAAAAATCACGAAACTTCCAGCGTCTTTCGGCATCTGGCCACGCGAGCTAACAGAGCGTTTAGATAAATAAAAAACTTAATCTTAAAATAAAAATAATTATGCTGCTCGCGGGCCTCACCGTCCCATCCGACATTCCTCTCGGCTTTATTATTTGTATTGCTTTCTTTGATAACCTCGGTGAGCAGGTATGTTTCACTTCACTTCAGGTGATATCGAAGCCAAAGCTACTAGCAAAAGCATCTTCCCCTGAACGATGCTCGTACTCCACAAGGGCGTTCTTGGCAGGGACACTGAAAGCTCGGAGCTCGCTCTTATTAGTCACCCTCGTGACGTCACACGGGGATACCTTCGCCTCCTCTCCTCCTCCTCAAGAGCTGCACTCTAATTCGCCATTTCATAGAAGGGCAAACGTCTTTCATTTTTTTACTCTTCATTATTTTATCGTAAGTGTAATTTCAGTCTATGAGTGCTATAAATGGCTATTTACTAATGATAGCGTGTATATTTCCGTTCGCAAATACTGCAAAACAAGCCAACTTATTAAGAACCGGAAGTGGTTGATGGCGTTTTGCACACTGGTGCCACCATGTTTCAACTCACACGAGAAAGAGCAATTAGCCTCTCCTACGCTGGCACCTTAATGAAACAGGGTGTAGAAAAGCGCACTGGGGCAGCGTAAAGACGCGTGTTCTAAACGCGACCCACAAATATTTTATCTTGCTCGCCTGGAGCGCTGCTCAAAGCCTGAGAGCTACGGACCTATGCCGAGAATGTAGGTACACGCGCTGCTCGCGCTGGCGTCTTCGGAAGTAACCTGTTTGGAAGAACAAAACCTAAAACAAACCGCGCATTGGACGTGCGTTCCACAACGCTCTAGCTTAATAACTTATTACTAGTCGATTATATTGGGAAGGCAAGTGCGTGGAGTTCATGTACCTTCGTTTGTTTATCGAAAAGCATATTAACTGCCTAATTCGCATTTTTACGGCCACAGTTAGAATACGTGAGAACCGTTTGACACCCCTGGGAAAAAAACCAACTAAACAAATTAGAAATGTTGCGAAGAAAAGCCGCAAGATACCGAAGGAACAAGAGCCGTTAAGGTACCGAAGGACAGACACAGTCACAGCAATGCTGAATGAACTCAACATTTACCCATTAGCACCATATAGGAAAACTGCTAGGCTAAAGAAACTTTACTTGCTACACACATATCTGCTGAACATACAGTCACAGCCCTTGTTAAAACCGCGTTTGACTCGCAATATTCGAGGCGCCCCCGCGAAAATGACCACGCCACGAAAAGTCCGCATTTGACTTTTCAAATAAGTTTTTTTCCCGCGATTTATAACCGAGTAGAAAAGTCTTCCCCATGGTATCATTGAATGTATTTTTTTCTGCACGTTTTGAGGCCAAACATAAAAAAATTTGTCTGGACAAAATAATATTTAAATAATTCAATGATGTTTGTTACTTTTGTTTTTTGCTTTAATCAAGATTATCCGCCTTTGTATGCTAACAATGTCATGCTTTATAGTTGCTTGTGGGTATGCCTGTATACAATATCTATACGTCCTTAAACCCCACCCATGTAACGATCAGTAGGCCAACAGTATCAATAAATAAATAAAAAAATGCACTTAGTGCTCATTAAAACCAGGGCAATGTGTTTCAATAATATCCAAGGTTACACTTTACTTTCCACAGTTTTCGTTCGGATTCTTTGGATAGTTTGTTTCCTTTCAGTTAGATATATTTTTTAGAATCGTATGGTGTTGTACCGCGGAGCTTGTATTTTTAAGTTAATTGGGGATACATCTTTTCCTC